ATTCCTAAACCCTAAACCCAAAATGCTTAGACCCTAAACCCAAGATACCTAAAACCCCTAACCCTGGACAACTAAGGAAAGCTTCGCCATTCCATTCGAGGAGCTCATGGAGAAGGATGGCCTTCCCCAAATAGTAACCGCACTTGCTTTCAAGCGCTATCTGCCGCTGGGTTCCCACGGTTTGGGGTTTAGGGTTTGGGGTTGGGGGTTAAGGGTTTTAGTAAGGGGCTTTCCTAGCAGCCCCTCCCCAAAGGTACTCCCCAAGTTTAGAACCCTATTCGGCGTTCTTAAGCCCCATATATTCCTTAGAAGTTCCTTAAATCTTAAACCCTGGGCAGTGTACTTTGGGGGGGGTACTATTGTAACCCCTTACCCCTTATTTAGGGTTTGGGGTTTGGGGTTCCCGAGCAAGCTTTATCCCCCTTTTCGGAGGTCCTAGTTTTTTTGATAAGCTACGTCATATGGTGCTGGATACTGAAATTCCAGCATGATTCTGAGTACCCTTAATCTCGAGAATTTTGGTACTACATTATTCAAAAACCTTACACCCTAAACCTTAAAAATAGCCCTAAACCCTAAACCCTAGAAATAGCCCTAAACCCTCAACCCTAAACCCTGAAAATAGCCTTAAACCTTAAACCCCAAAAATTAGCTCTCAACCCTAAACCCTAAACCCTAAGGTCATGCAGGATCTCGAGAAGCCAAGAAACCGAGGGCCCCGTTCAAAGTCCTGCAGTGGATAGAGGAAATCTTGCACCACGTAAGGCTACCAATTCTTAAATCCTAAACCCCTAAGCCCTAAACCCCTAAATCCTAAACCCCAAATCCCTAAACCCTAAACCCTTAAACCCTAAACCCTTGAATCCTAAACCCCTAAACCCTAAACCCCTAAATCCTAAACCTTAAGTCCAAGTTAAGTTATTTGGGATCCTATGTAATTTCCCAGTATAGTGGAACCCCAATATAAGCCCCAAAATATTCTAATCTTTATTATGGGAACCCCCAAAGAGGTACCCCTAATTTTAGGAAACCCCCATTCAAGATCCCAGGCAGGGTTGTTGCGGCTTGTCCAGATTCAGGCAACGTCTGCTGCCTCCAGATTGACAGAGCTCAAGGTTTTGAGTTTTAGGGTTTAGGAGTCTTAGGGTGCTAGGGTTTTAGGGTTTAATAGGGTTTAAGAGTTTAGGAGTTTTAGGGGGCTAGGGTTTTAGGGATTCAGGGTGGGGATTTAAGGTTTACAGATCTAGGGTTTAGGGATTTAGGGTTTAGGGATCGAGGGATTTAGGATCTAGGGATTCAGGGAGTGAGGGTTCAGGGATTCAGGATTTACGGATTTATGGTTTAAGGGATTTGGGGTTTAGGGTTCAGGGCCTAGGGCCTAGATTTTTAGGCTGGTTCTCCTTTGTTTGAGCCTTAGAGTTAAAGTAAAGACTGAACTCGTTTGCCCGAGCCCTAAACCCTTAGACCCATAAAGCTCCTAAAGACCCTAAAACCCTAAACCCTGAAACCCTAAACCCTAAAATCCGAAACCCTAAATCCCTAAAACTCTAAACCCCTAAAACGCCTCCCCAAACCCTAGAACACTATCCGGAACAGAGGCTCCCAGATGGCAGGATCTTATTGGACAACGAAGTCCTCGAAAAAGCGGTAGATCTGCAGCTCGTCTTGCTGCCGCTACTGGGTTGTTACAAGGCTTAGGTCCCACCCAGACCCTCCAATGTAGTTCCTTTTCGGGTTTGGTATGGATTTTTGGTTAGGACTCTTATTAGGACTACGTACCAAAAAGGTACTAGATTGGAGGGTTTAGGTAGGTCTCAGGGCATAGGATTCAGGGTTTCGGGTTTGGGGCTTAGGGTGTGTCTGGCGAGGCGCGCATGAAGCAGTCCGGGCTGCGGGCTCGGGTTGCTTGTAAACCCACCCCGGCCAACCAAATCATATTCCATTACTGGGTTGCTGTTAAGGAACTTAAATTAAGTTACCAAAATGGGTATATATATATAATAATTAATATGGTTGCCCCAATATAGTAACCTAAATGAAGTTCCTTAACAGCAACCCAGATTAGGGTTTAGGCATGCTTCTCTGAAGGTAATCATTAATGCCACTACCCCTCATGGTTGTTTATCGAGGGCCACGGGCCCAAACCGATTATGTCGAGCATCCGCTCCGGTTAGGCGTAGCCCACGAGGGCCCGAAACCAACAAAATTACGCCGATTATCTCGGGCGGCAGGGGGTGACCTTCAGCATGCAAGGCTTGTCCTTGTTGGCCTGTCCAGTCAATTCACACCCACTTTTCCGTCTCTCTTTTCGTACGGGCGCTCAGGCTGTGAGGCCCTCGGCCAAGCGCTCGGGATCTGTCATTTGATGGTAGCGACCCCTCAGGGTTTAAGGTTTAGGGTTTGGGGCTTGGGGCTTAGGGTTTAGGATGTAGACTTTAGGATTCAGGGTTTAGGGTTTAGGGTTTAGGGCTCAGGGTTTGGATTTTAGGGTTCGCAGATTAGGTTTAGGGCGTAAGGTTCAGGCTTTAGGATGTAGCGTTTAGGGCTAAGCGTCTAGGGGGTAAGATTTAGGGTATTCAGGGTAGGGAATTTAAGCTTGAGGGTTTAGAGGCATTTCTGGCCGAGCATGTCACATGCAAATGCAGACAAACATGATACACGAATCATAGAAATATGGGGCTTGATATTAACATTATTCCCGACTGTGAAGGGTCGGGGCCGTACCCAACCCTAAACCCTACGTCTTCATCTGATCCCGAAACCCTAAACCCCCTACACCTAAAGCCTAAACCCTGACTAAACCCTAAACTCCTGAACTCCCTGCAACCCTAAGCCCCAATCCTAAGCCCCTGGTCCCGCAACCCTGAGCCATAAAAATCAAGGTTTCAACCAAGCGATGAGAGCCAGATCCAGCAACTGACACTGGCGGCGCATCACAATTGTCTCGACATGATGGACGATCTGCTGCAAAGGCCACTCGGTTTAGGATTTAGGGCTTGGGGTTTGGGGTTTGGGGTTTATTGAGGGTTCGGGATTAGTCAGTGGATGTGTCCTGAAAATTGCTTGTGGTCTTGTAGAGCCGCGCAATAAAGTATAAACGTTATCGCGCGCCCGCCTCGGCTGGCGGGGGTCGGAGCACACGCATGGCATGTAGTTGACACGGGGACGGGGGGGTGTGGGGTCGAGGGAGTAACCTCACTTCAGACATGTTTCTTGCATGCCTGTTACAGCATTCATGGAGGAGGTTGGTGAACTATTTCATTGATACTAACGAAAGGTGTTCAGAAAACAGCTTCAGGTTCTATATGTTTGCTTAGTCCAAGCTGCCAACAACAGATACTTGTTTTTTAGTGGGTTCCCCTATTCACCCCCAATACTAGCCCTTTAGAGAGCCGGGGAACTACACCCTAAATCCTGAACCTCAAAACCCCATGCCCAAACCTTATACCCTAAACCCTGAACATCAAACCTATGAATTTTGGGAGGGGTCCAGACCAGATCTAGGCCGCAGGATCCCGATCTAGAATGCCAAGACATACGCGCTCTGGATATGGCGTGTGACCAGGGATGCGTTGAAGCTGTTCGCCTACTTCTGGAGGCCAATGCTGACAAGGACAAGCGGGCAAAAGATGGCAAAACTCCACTAAATCAGGCTTCCGCGAAAGGTCACTTGGAACTTGTTCGGCTGTTGCTGGAGGCCAAGGCTGAAACGGAGGCAGCTGATAACAGCGGCGCGACTTCGATGTTCACGGCCTCAGAGGCAGGCAAGTCAAAAGTCGTGCAGTTGCTTTTTGAGGCGCGTGCTGACATGGATAGGGCCGCAGAAGATGGCAGAACTCCGTTGTTCGTGGCCTCACAACAAGGCAGGGTGGGGGTTGTTCAAGCGTTGCTGGAGGCCAAAGCTGACAAAAATACACGTGACTCGGGTGGTAGAACTCTGCTGGCAGTGGCCTGTTCAATTGGCAGCGATGCTGAAACTGCGAGATATGTGGACCCCGGCTATGTTAGGGGCAAAGTTGTTGGCTTGCTATTGGAGGCCAATGCTGACAAAGATGAACCCTATAGTCCCCTTTGAGTAAATAGAATATGGGGTAAATGGGGATGTTATTATAATATTATACCCAAAGCCATATTCTATCTACTTACTAACTTACGGGGCTATCGACCCTAGTCTGCGTATCATAGTCTTGGAGGCCAATGCCGACAAGGATCAGGCTGACACATGGGGCAGAACTCCTATATCGTGGGCCTCGCAGAAAAACGGCTTGGAAGCTGTCCAGCTGCTACTGGCTTGCTGTTCAGGAACTTAAGCGGGCCTAAGTCACTTAAAAAAAGAAACTTTAGTATTTACCATATATTAAGCGCTGCTAATGTCACAGGCTCTACGCTGCAGTCCTGTGGAAGTATTTCGGTTATTCTACTATATATTAGTCCATATTATGGTAGCTTATTCCAAGCTCCTTAAGAGCAACCCAGGCTACTGGAAGCCAGGGCTGACAAAAACCGAGCCAACAAACGTGGTGCAACTCCGCTTCGGCTGGCATCCGCGAGAGGCCACGTGGCAGTTGTTCGCCGGCTCTTAGAGGCCAAAAAGGGTTATAGGGGTCTATGTAGAGTTATATAGTGTTATATAAGATTATATAGGACCCCCGCCCCCTGTGGCCTGTGGTCTGGGTT